CCAACCCTGTGGACTCCAAGCCTGGGACCATCCGTGGGGACTTCTGCATCCAAGTTGGCAGGTGAGAGTCGGTGCATTTTACTCTTTTCTAAAATCCAAGTGCCACAAGAATTTGGGTTTCTGAAGCTGAGGGTAGACATGATACCATACACAGAGCAATTTGTTATCAGAGTGTACTGTTTTCCTCCTTCTTAATTGGTGTTTGGCTTTGCAGGCCCTCTGCCTTTGGTCATCAACATCACTATGGTTGTGCCTTTGTTGTGAGAGTAGAACCTGGTACAATGTGCTTTGCTGGCCAGAGTCCTTCCTGAGGCTCCCACTGCTCGCATCAGTGTTGCTAGGAGGGCTGGATGTGGAGAGGGCATTCTTTATCCTTACATTAATGGCAGTCATGGGTTTTTTCTTTTGACATGGAATAATGTATATGGAGCTTTAGCTTTTTTCTGCTCCGGTGGCTGTAGGCTTTCTGGCAATGGAAATGAGGGGAGCTTCTGGGCAGTTTAATCCTTCTGACCTTGGTAATGTGGCCATCTCTTTTCCCATCCAGGAACATTATCCATGGCAGTGATTCTGTGGAGAGTGCAGAGAAGGAGATTGGCTTGTGGTTTCACCCTGAGGAACTGGTGAATTACAATAGCTGTGCTCAGAACTGGATCTATGAGTGACATGGAAGCAGACCACAGTGCTTGTCCCACCCCACTTCCCCTCCCTCTCACGGGCAGGGGCCAGGTCATAGCAAATCTAGTTATTTCTGAGAACTTGCTTTTCATCTGGAGGGAAACTCTTGGAGCTGTGGATGCTCCCTGTACAGTGTTATGTGCTATCATCAGATTAAAATGTTTCATCTCAAGGAAGGAGTCATTGAGTAAGGTACTTTGTATTGTTGTATTGCTTTGTATTCTTTTTTCTTTTTCACGTATTCTGGCTAACCTAAGCTAATAGAGAGTGTAAACACTATATAAATTATATTGGCCTGAGAGATCACACATACACACACATTCTTTGCCTGTCCCTTTCTTCCCCCTGCATTCCATCCACTCTTGGCACTGAGCCAGTCAACAGCTATCTGTCAGGGATCTGCTAGGTTGCCAAGACTGTCCTATGCATCGAAGATTCCCTGGAAATAAAAGATACCCTTCCTGCTCTTGAGAAGCTCTCAGGGATTCAGTGGCTGGGGGAGTGTGAGAAGTTGTAACTACTCTGAAGCCAAAAAGCTATGTGGATAGTGGGCCTGGATTTCTGGGATGACCTCAAAAGAAGCAGAAGATATCTTGTAAGTAGTTTTGATTTGTTAGGATGTTGATTTGGTTGCTTTAATAGAGACAAGATGGAAATTTACTTATCATTTACTTAAAAGTTCAAACTGGAGATCTGATGTAGATCACTGTGACTATAGTTAACAATACTGTACTATATATTTGAAATTTGCTAAGAGGGTAGATCTGTGCTCTCATCACAAGAAAGAGAGAGAGAGAGAGAGAGAGAGAGAGAGAGAGGAAGGGAGGGAAGGAAGGAAGGAAGGGAGAGAGAGAAAGAAAGGTAGATAGAAAGAAGGAAAGGAAATGGTAACCGTAGGAAGCCATTGTCATGTTAATTAGCGTGATTGTATTAGCTTGCAGCTAGATACAGCCACAGGACTAAGTTCTGGCCAAAGAGACATGAAAAAGTGAAGGTGGTAAATTCAAGGTTGTACCCTGAAAAGGAAGGGATAATCATACTTTCCTTCCCAACTTGCTGGAAGGCGGATATAGGGGTGGTAACCATCTTGGATTGGTTGGAGGGAACTGAATCTCTGGACCACCTCAAGGATCAGAGCCTTACCACCATCACCACTTCTATGTACCGTACCTGCTTAGATTTTTTCCCCCCCAGTTTTATTGAGATACAACTGACAAATAAAATTGTAAGATATTTAAAATGTACAACATGATGATTTGCTATAAGTTACATTGTGAAAGGATTTCTCCCATGGGGGGCCACCTTTTGTTTGGGCAGCTGAGGAATAGATGCGTTTCTGTTTCATACAAAGAATGGGAATGAGATAGAGTACCAGGACTTTGGGGGAATGAATATGTGTGTAGCGAGGCAGGAGGGTCATGAAACTGCACAGCTCATCTCAGGACTTAATGAAGCTCAGGTTCTTTATGTCTTGGCACAGAAGGAATTCAGCAAGAGACAAAGTGATAGGTAAGAAGTAGATTTATTAATATAGGACACTTGTGAAGGATGCAAATGGGCAGGCAAGAGGGCTCTTCCCTGAGAACTAAGTGGGCTATGTTTTTATAATCAAAGGAAAAGTGGGGAGGGGAGAAGACCACCTTCTTCCTCTTCCTTTGTAAAGATGTTGCAGGAAAATGGGGTGCGAGAGAATGGTCATGTCCCAGGTCTTGGGCGAGCTCCTGGCACAGGCTGCTAAGTGAGGGTACTTGGCTTTGCGCAGGAAAGAATTCAAGAGCAAGCCATAGTGAAGTCAAAGAGGTTGACTGAGAGAGATGCACATTCTGTTACTGAACTTGTGTTCGTGTGCCTGATGCACAGAGAGGCCAGACAATTCCTAAATGTTGGAGTTTGGAGCAGAGCAAGGCTTATTCCAGGGCCATGCAAGGAGATGGGTGGCTCATGCCCCTGAAACCCCCAACTCCCCAAAGGGTTTCAGCAAAGCATTTTTTTTTTTTTTTTTTAATTTCTCTGAGAACCGTAAAGTGCGGCTGGCTGTCTCCCTTTCCGGATAACGACAACAGCTCCGACTGTCAGTTCCGGCCTTCCTCGTGTAAGGGGATCTGTCGGACCCGTGCTAATTCAATTTTTTCCCCATTCCGGGCCCTTCCCTATCGTCGCCCCCTTCACCTTGGATCATGTTCAAGAAGTAAGGACATGCTGTGGCCTCCGTCGGCTGCTACCAAAGGGGGGGGGGGGGGGGGTGGGGGAGAGGGTGTGTGTGTCACAGGGTATGTGATCAGCTTGTGCACAGTTCTCTAATTGGTTGATGGTGAAGTAACAGGGTGGTGCCGCAGGGGTTAACAAAATCAGTCCTTAGGCTCCAGGAGGCCTGGGGGCTATGTGTTCATGGTCATCAAATAGTTAATATCTTCCATTTGGTGGGGGTTTTTCACATCTGTAAAACAACTCAGGAAATGTGCATCAGGTACTATTATCTGGGTACTTCAGAGAGGAGCTAGAACAGAGGATATGGGGGAAGGGTCTGCCCCAGAAGGCCCCACAGGGTCCTGCTCAGTTACAATTCCATAGACAGAACGCAGTCTGTGTCAGAAGGCAGAGCAGGCTCGAGGTGCGGGGTTGCTTGGTTTTCATGGGCTGGGTAATTCCATAGGCTAAGAAGTGGGAGGAATATTCTAACTACCTTGGAGAAGGCTCAGGGATTTCCAGGATTTGGGCCACTGCCCACTTTGTGGCCTTTATGGTTGGCCTGGGAGCTGTCATGGTGCCGGTGGTTGTGTCACTTAGCAGGCTAATGTATTACAGTGAGCGTATAATGAGGCGCAGTTTCTACTGCAAGTTGAATCTTCCACCATCTTGGGCCTAGTCGGTTCTAACCAGTTCTTGTTGTATCCAGTTTTTCTCAAGGGCTGTGTCATTCTTTAAGGATTGTGCCCTGCCCCCTTGCCTCTTCATTTATACCTTCCCCAGTTAAGGACAGTCTTGCCAGGATGGAAAGGAGAGGTGGAAGGCAGAGGGCTGCTGTTGTCTGTACCGCAAGGTAGTGACCAGACCAAGGTTTCCTAGATCTCAGGAAGCTCCTGGTATTCTCCTCTTTCCCACAGTTGACATTTGCTAACCCTGAAAAGGAAGCCCAAATAAAAGGGTACTGCAGACTGAGGCCCAAGGGAACACTGGGTGTCCTTGCTCCAGAATGAAGACTGCTAGTGTACTGTGGTTTAATGCTCTGCAACTAGAAGTCTGGAAAGCCAGCAGGGTATAATAGAGGCCTGGACTGTCACAGCATCTAACACAGGTTATCAGTGCAGTGCCAGGACCACTAGGGTGATGACACATGATTCCTGTAGTCAGCTCACCGCCCTGAGGAGAGAGACTCGGACTCTGCCCACCTCAGGCTGTAAGCACTGCTGGAGGGGTGGGGGTGGGGGGGTGAGTGTACACTTACTGGAGAGGAGGGGCTTGCTGGCTCCTCCAGGGAAGCTGGGCACCACCGAAGGGTGGCTAGTGGAGATAGGGATTGTCTGCAAATGTCTGAGACGCCTGATTTCTATGAGAGAATCTAGAATCTTGTCAAGGGTGTGTCTCAGGCTGAACTGGATAACCTGGCCACACAATGATGCTGGGGGCAGAGATCATCATCTCAGGGTGGGAACAGAGCAGCTTAATTGGGCTGGGGAGGTGGGTGGGGAGACAGGCAGGAGGGAGCAGGGTATGGGGTATTTTGCTAAATTAGCCTTGGATGCCATCCTCCAGGCAGGGGGAGTCGTCAAAGCAGGGCCGAGGGTCAGATGGTGTTTGAGGAGGGTGCTGAGGGAGGCTCCTTGCGGGGAGAAGTGAGGTGGACGCGCATTGGGAGGCCGCCAGTTCGGATGAGGGAGGTGGAGGGCTTGAAGCAGGGCTCAAGCAGAGGGGAGGGAAGGGGAAACTGGATTTCACAGGTAGGATAAGGACTTGTGCTAGACGGGGAGGAGAGAAAGCAGCTCTGGGTGCTCGGTGAATGGGGAAAAGCAGATGGTACTGGCCGGGGTACCGACTCAAGACCAGGAGAGGTTTGCGTGCGCGCGTGTGAGGAGGTACTGAAGACGGGAGTTGGACTGGACGCGCGCAGTTCTACTTCTGTCACATCCAGGTGGGGTAGAAATCACTTCCTGCCCCTGGAACCCTCTCTGGCCTATTTTGCAAACCAGGGGCGTGGACAGAGTCGTCCGGAAGCGTCCGGCCTCGCGGGTTGGGCGGAGGGCCGTCCGGGGTGTGGCCGCCGCCGGCCCCTCCTCCGCGGGCTCCCTGCGGCGGTGCCGGTAGCTAAGCTCTCGGCTCAGGCCCGCACCGCCGCCCGCGCCCGCCCGCTTACCGGTAAGACGGCGGCTCCGATCCCTTCCCGCCCTCGGGCCCCCTCGGTCCCGCAGGCCGGGCGCTCCCCCGGGACCCCCTGCCGAGTGTCCTCCGCGGGCACCCGGGGACGGCTGAGGGGCGGCGGCGCGGCACTGGCAGGGCTGAGGCGTCCCGCAGGCCACGTGTCCCCGCGGTAGCGGCTGGCTGGCGCGGGACCCACGTGGCCTCCGGCCCGGGGTCCGGACCCCCTCGAGGCCTGTGTGAACGCGGCCGCGACGCCCTGACCGCACCTGTCGCCCGCAGGACCATGGCCCACGCGGAGCGCACCTTCATCGCCATCAAGCCCGACGGCGTGCAGCGCGGCCTGGTGGGCGAGATCATCAAGCGCTTCGAGCAGAAGGGATTCCGCCTTGTGGCCATGAAGTTCCTTCAGGTGACGCGCCCCGCTCCCCTCCCCCCGCGGCGAGGTCGCGGGTGGTTTTCCTTACCCGCAGCGTCGATCCGCGTGTCTTTTCTTAGTCGGAGTCCCCCTTGGCTGATTTCGGACCCGCGAATACCCCTTTGCTTTGGGCCTCCAACCCCCACCCCACCCACCCACCCAGGGCTCCACGGGCCCGCCAGACCCTTCCCCGAGGCCCGGGGTGGACAGACGCCCTTGGAAGGTTAAGCGGAGGTGACGTGACTCAGGCTCCGGGGCTGCTTCCTTCCCGCAGCTGCGACGGGCAGTGGGCCGCAGGGGGGCAGCAGGGAGTGGAGGAGGTCTGCGCCCCGGGCCCACGCAGGTCCACCCAGGCACGGGATGGAGGCTGGAATCCTTTTGTGCCTCAGCTTGCAACTCTGAGATGATTGAGGTCTTAGGTGGGGTGTGCCTTACTCTGCCCTTTCTCTGCAGGCTCCCTTTGGCATAGGGCAGTAACTATATCTTCCAATTTGGGGTACAGATCTGGACCTTAGGGGATAAGTACCTAAGAACTGAAATTTAAACCAAGCTTTCTCAGTTAACGTCTGAAATATTTAAAAGGGCATTGGGAATGGGCCAGAGGGTTTGATATGACGTCTGTCTGGCATATTTCCTTTGATTGCAGCCAAAGCTTAACTCCCTAACCACCTCTTTCTAAGGATTATAACATCCGTCAGGTCATTGACATGAGGGTGTCTTCATGATCAGAACAATCTTTCCGCTAAGATAGCATCAGTTTCATGGTTTGGACGGGTTGTTGTTTTTTTTTTTTAAATACGCACCTTATGAATGTGAGCTAAAATACACACCCAGACTTTTAGAGAACCTACCGTGTTACTGGTGGGGGGAGGTGGGCGGGTTCTGAGGATGGGATAGAGCCATATTTGAGCCTTTCTAGTTTACTTCCTAATTGGTACCTCCTCTTCAATGCCAGGCCTCTGAGGAACTCCTGAAGCAGCACTACATTGACCTGAAAGACCGCCCATTCTTCCCAGGGCTGGTGAGGTACATGAACTCTGGGCCAGTTGTGGCCATGGTAAGTGCTTGTGCTGGAGGAGAGGGAGCCAAGGAAAGTAACGGCTGATAGGTAACTGGGTCTGCTCAGTGTCTTCATGTTCCTTTTTAGACATCTTCCGCAGATACTCCAAGTTCCTTGTTTTACAAAGGCAGCCTGCTGGAGTGAGTTAGTTTACAGACCAACTGGGAACTTGGGAGGAAAAAGGAAGTGAGAATCAGAACGTAAAGAGAGTTCTCTGTGATCCTGTGCTAGAAATGAACTGGTCTATTTCTTCCTGTGGCATTGTCCAATTGGAAATGAAGTGAATAGAGGTAGAGGGTATAATAGGGAGTTAATAAAATTGTTGGGAAAGAAGCCCTACTTCCTGTTCCCTGAGGGTGACCTTTTCTTCTTTCTGCTTTTCCCTGGAATACATTTTCCCCTTTCATGTCAGTCTTTGCCATGTCTTGCTCTAACAGTCTTCTGCGATGCCCTTCCCACTGATCCTGTTCCAGTCTGCTCACTTTTCTTTACCCTTTCACCACTATTTTTTGAGTTTGTGGCTGCATTAAGATTCTTCGGTCTTGTTAATCTCTGTCTCAGCCAGAGTGGGAAGTCCCCAAGTTGGGCAGACTTTTTCTCTGTATCCTAGCAATACACTTGGGATGGAGTATGGAGTATTTACTACTACTGGGGTTGGCTGACAATCATGTCACTGATTGGTCTTACTGATGTGTGCTGTTAGGTAGAGGTAAATGTTTGTTTTTAATGGTCCTGAATGGCAGAACTGATGAAATTCCTTTTCCCTAATGTCAAGGTCTGGGAGGGCCTGAATGTAGTGAAGACAGGGAGAGTGATGCTTGGGGAGACCAACCCAGCGGATTCTAAGCCGGGCACCATTCGTGGCGACTTCTGCATTCAAGTTGGCAGGTAAGTTCCAAGGGACACTAATGACCTTTCCTCAAAGCCACTTAACTTGGGTTTAAAACAAACATTTTTGGCATATTCCAATTTTAGAAAATTTTGAACGTTTAAATTAGGTGGTAGTTATCATTGGATGACCGCTTTCTTAAATAGTTACTTCTCTAGGCTACTTAAAATTTTAGCCAAGGCATTTGCACAAGGGAGCTGCCTGCGGTAGGTCCTTCGTGACAGAAGAAAGTGCGGAAAATGGGGCAAGGAAGGGGTCTAGCCTTGGCTCTGCCCTTTGTGGTGCTGTGTCCAAGGTGTGTCACTTTTAGCCTTTTTGGTTCCCTCACTCATACAGAATCTCTACAAAAATTTGTATAGTTATGAGACAAACGGAATAAAGGGATTGTCAATAAGCGTGAATGTTTTGATTGGACTTTGCACATTAGTGTTGTAAGAAAGTACAGCAGCAATGGCTGTTGATAATGAATGCGTCACATCTAGTTTGGGTTTTGGTCTGGGTATTCCTATATTTTTCAAAATTTGAGAAGCAATGTTTTGTGGCAATCTTGGGTACAAGTGCTGTTGTGAAAATTTAGAAGCATAATAAAGTTGAACCAAGTGATGCTTTTGGCTTAAGTACTTTTATAGTTTTATAGTTGCTTTTAAGAGGAGATACTTGGGGGTGGTCAGCTGCTTCAAGGAGCAACTGGCTGAAAAGGTCTTCAGTGACTGTCCTTTGCTTTATCCATTGAACAGACTTTTGTACTTTAAAATGTGGTAACTAGAAATTGTTCTCCTTCTTAGGAACATCATTCATGGCAGTGATTCAGTAAAAAGTGCTGAGAAAGAAATCAGCCTGTGGTTTAAGCCTGAAGAACTGGTTGAGTACAAGTCTTGTGCTTTTGACTGGATTTATGAATAAGAGGTGGAAGGAGCATCAGTCCCCTCTGGCACCACCTGATGTGTCCCTGGGCACAGCTCTTCATTCCACTAACTTGGAAGCAGGAGGATGGATGTTTCTTTCCTGAAGTATATCCACCAATAAAGCCTTTGAAAACGGGGTGCACACTCTGGTGATTACTGGTTACTAAGCTGGAAGACGTGACTTGGTTCCCTGGCTATCGTAGTGTTATCCAGAACAAATTAATCCTGCTTGTTATGGAAAAACGATTTAATCCTTCTCAGCACCTGGTATACTTCCAGACTCCAGGAGGGAAAGCAGTGAGGCTGAAGAGGACAAGTGTGGCACTGGTTGTGTATCTGAGGAAACTAATAAGGAAATAATGAACGTAATAAAGATCCCAACCACTTTAGCTGATGTAGAAATGCACATTTCTGTACAAAGAATTTGTTGAAACTTGGTAGAATGAAACAGAGACCAGTCAAGTTGTCCAGATTTACATTCTTGTTGATTGCAAATTGGGCAAGTTACGTATGAGGAAATGGAAGCCTAAGGACACCTGTAAGGTGAGGATGATACCATGGCAATGCAGGATTAAATGAAACAATGCATGTAAAGCAGTTAACCTAGTGCCTGGCCCGTAGCTGGTACATAAATATTCCCTGCAACCCTACCTCCCTTCTTACTCTACCCTGGGATGAGATATTTATCATGCCTATTTCCTGGGCTAGTATTAAGTGGTTACAAAATCCATATTGCCTGTTAATTTTTATATATGCTACATGCTTTCACTACATTAAATGGCAGTTTATTGAAATTAGATCCTGGGGCAGGCCTGGGGTCTGCATTCTAATGTGGAGGTGCCCACCCTGGATCCACGTGCACAGTGGCTAAGGTACCTGTCAGCAGCAGCAGCGGTTACTGTGTATAAGCTTACTCTGTGCCAGGGTTGTTCTAAGAACTTCACGTACATGGGTTCATTTAATGTTCACAACTCTTAGGAAGTTGGTACTAGTATCCTATTTTATAACTGAGGAAACAGTCAAGTTAGAGAGCTTAACAAGTGAAGGAGTTAAGTTCCAATGCAAGTAGCTGGCTTCAGACTCAGCTCTTGGCCACTGCTTTACTACCTTTATATAGTTTTCCAAGTGACATGATAAAGTCATGAGTTTGGAGGGTGATGAAGTCAAATTTGGAGTGGTGAGAGCTGAGGTGAGGGATATGAATGTTAGGACTTAATCTGGTAGAACTGAATGAGGAAGGGTAGGCTATGGTGAGGACAAAAGCACTGCCTCTGGAATAAGGTTGGGTTTTGGACCTAATCCTATATACCAGTTGGGTGTGTGAAAGTGGACAACTAATTCAGAACCTTTTATGCTTTCATAAAACTGTATTTTAAACATATAATAAATGCATTTTTAAAAATACATTACTTTTTATATAATTATTTGTTGTTAATAGGCAAGCCCTTTGGCCTGCTTGTGAGGCTTGGAATTCTTAACAGGCCAAAAAGGGATGTTAACCTAGCCTCAGTAAGAGTCTGCAGAAAGGAAATAGTTGCTGTTCTCACCGTCTCACAAGGCTGGATAAACAACACAGTGCTAAAGTTACTTGTTTTGGGGAAACATTTGTTCCTCTTAAAACATGGGCATAAAGCACTTTAGGAAACTAGTTTCCCAAGAGGCACGTAAGGGTTTAAAGAAGAATGTATATGTCAAAGCTCAGGATAGTAATTGAGGCCAACCTGGGAATTCCAGTTTACTAGGGCAACTGTTTTCAAGCCATTTAAGGTAGGAAGCAGGGCAGAAATTAGGTTCTGTTTTTCTAAAGTGATGAAATTAACTACTAAAGATACCCAGTCCACCTCATTACTGTCTAACATCCATAAAATTCTCTACAAACTGCTTCTGCAGTAAAAGTTGGATAATTTCCCCCAGAGTCAGCTGTTGATAAAGGAGTGTGTCTGCGTGCCCTCTTAACGTAAACAGCAAGAGCAAGCTGGGATAATTCATTTACATCCTATGAACCTTGCTGCTGAGGTTAATGGAGCTGGGAAAAAAAAAAAGTCTCCTAGCAATCATGCCAACCCTGAAACACCATGTTCTGACTAAAGTCATTTAATTTCCCCACAAGGGGTCCACACTCACCCCTCCTGTGTTTTTTGCCTATTCCCTCCAAGCGAGATCCTGGCTCAAATGCAGCTATGGCCATATATCCACCCATATTCTCTTCCTCTCGTCAGCCAGCAGTAAATTCTTCCTCACTTGTGCTGGCTTACCTTATGAGAGTACAGGTTCTGTGAGGGAGGAACTGATCTGACTTTCCCAGGGGCTTTCGACTGCTTATAGAAGGCACTCAAGGGACTTCCCTGGCCGTCCAATGGTTAAGACTCCGTGCTTCCACTGCAGGGGGTGCAGGTTCAATCCCTGGTTGGGGACCTAGGATCCTGCATGCTGCGTGGCGCAGCCAAAAAAAAAAATAAATAAATAAAAGGCGGCACTCAGTATTTTGAATAAAAAAGGAAATCCCTCAAATATCAAAGCATATTAAAGAATTGCTCATATACAACTTAACTTTAACGTTTTATTTTGTGTAAAAAAGGGCAAATTTAGTGAATTATTTTCATCTTGTACACAAAGTTATAATTTTAATGCTTTTCACATCCATGCTGAAAATTTGCAATTTGGTAAAAATGAAAGGAACGTAAATTTCTCCAAAGGAATTTTTCACGCCATTATATACACTTTACGAGAAAGTTTCAAACACTTTCTCAGTGATCACAAGTTACCAAGAAAATAAAAGATTAAATTTGTACAGATATTGATCTATTTATCAAATACATACAGAAATGATGTAAAAACCTTATGCAGTTTACTTTGACCTCTGTCCTCAAAAGATTTGCCCAGGGACAGATACTTTTCTTTTGTATAAATGACTGTGGCTTTATTTAAAATATGAAAATCAAAGGAAGAAACCCAGTTTAATCACAGTATTTTTAAAATCCCTTCCCAATAGTAAAGGATCATTACCAAATATATAGCACCATAATACAAATATTGACGGGAGAGGGTATTCACATCACACAAAATTAATAATAATAAAAACAAACAAACACTGAAAACCCGTGTTAGTATCCGTAGAATAAGAAGTTGATAACAGCTTTAGCTTTCCTCATACACAGCAAGGAAAAGGTTAAAGAGTTTAAACTACCAAAAATCCCCAAATAATCCTAACAGGAAAAAAAACAAAACAAACCCAAGGTCAGCAGTACATTTGAACCGTAGAATAGAATGGGGCTACTGAGTTGTACACTTGGAGTTGTGGCTAAGACATGAATCTCCTCTGCATCAACTCATTTTCTGTTCATCGGCAGCAGGGAGTTAGAGTCTGAACAATGAAGAGGGCTTCAGATTGTGTTTATTCGGTAGGAAGTCCTTACCAACATTTAACGTTGGTCGTGGGATTAAGACACGAAACACTTCATAAATAGGTGGGAAATCTGAAAACACTCAGAGCCTGGCTTTGCTGCAGAACTGGAAGCTTATAAAACCTGGCTACAAATGAGCATTTCACAGAACTAATTACCAGGCTCCAAATCAAATCCCTCCTGGTTTATTCAGTTCCCTATAGAGCCCCTAAGCCCAGGGTACTGTTAGAGCACACGATACAACTGGCTTCTTGTGCCCATATCATGGAATCGGAGTCCTGGGTTTAATTCACTAAGCCTGAGAATAAAGACTGTTGTAACCCTTGCTTTTTGGAAGTCTTCCAGGCTTTAAGTTTATAGGAAGATTCTTAAAAGTTAAAGATTTGGGAAGTGTGAGGATGTCACATTTACAGTAGGTCCCTCTCAGTAATGTTGTTTAAGATAAATATCCAGTAATTTAACAGCTGAATTCACATATATCTGACACATGAGAATCAACTTGGCATTGATATGATCTGCATTTATGCCCCTAAAGAGTCAGTATTAAGAAATGTTGACATGCGATTCCATACATTCTTACACTATAAAGTAACAAATTTTACTTCCAGTAGCAACTATAAAACCTTATGATATTAACCCCTCTTGCATAGAATGAGGTAAACCTGTGCATATTACCAATGCTATTATTCCCAAAAGTAGAGCAATATTTTAGAAAATAAATTGCTGGTTTTTAATGTTTTATGCATTTTAAAATTCAAACAAAAAAAATCTTACCTAAAATGGTCTCCTGGGGCTTTCCATTAACAGTTTTTAAAGCATTCCATAGGCTAAAGGACTGTAGAGGTTAATCATTTTGATTAATTTCTAATTAGCCCTATACCTATTTTCCAGAGGAGATGGTCAATATTACCACTCTGAAGAGGCCAGGCTAAGACCCAGAAGCACTTCTAGAACAGATGCAAGTAATTCCTGAGAGTTTAGTTTATGAACCTCACTGGTAAATGCTAAAGCTCTCTCATTCAGTCACAACTCAGAAAGTCAAAAAATGCAGAGAGCAAACCTTTCACCAATTTACCTTTATATCCTTTTTTCAAAGGAAGCCATGTGAATTTTAAAATAGGGAATGTTCAAAATGGTCCAAATCCGTTATTATTGTTAAAATTAATTCTGAATAGAGTTAAAGACAATTCATACTAATATATATATATATAATTAGTATGAATTGTCTTTAAATTTTAAGAAAATTAAATTCTCTTTCAAATTAGTTTTCTAACAAATCCAGGATAGTTAAAAGCAGAGCTGGAATGATTTTGAAATCTAAACTTATCTTGGCTTTAAACAACTGTTAATTTGATTCTCCTGGTAATACAGAACATGTGTTTTGGGGTGTGGTTATACCAAGTATTATCTCATAGATGGAGAGAAATGGCAGAGAACTGATGAGAATCCCTTTTATGGGGTATTTTTTAGTAAGGAAAATAAAATAAACTTAGGACAATATTGCATTTTCCCCAACCCCTCAACATGTAGACTGAGATCTTGTATATCTTGTCAACCATTCCAGTTTAACACTTTAGTGTTAGGATAATTTTAGTCATTTTTTAATTAAAAGAGAACATATAAAAGTATCCAGAGTTCTTCCAGTTTCATACAGAACTCTAAAGAAATTTTCACAGAATGAAAAACATTTCTGTACAAATATTTAAAATGGGCTGCAATAAAATGCCAACAAG